TCAGAAATGTTGTTTTATATTATATCTTTAAACTATAAAAATTGCATTCCATTATAAAGAGCCATCACTGAAATGCCTGGTCACAAAGTTGAAGATCAGTGAAAACACTTTGCAGTTACTGTTTATAAATCTTGGTCAAGCACATTGACACATGTGGTCTAAATATAACTTCGGTTGTCAGGGGCGAGTGGATAAATGGGTCATACCATTACGAAGCTCAATGGAAACTGTAGAGGGGGTCAGGGCTACATTAAGATGGGAATTATAGTGATGATACTGAAACAAACCCAGGTCCTGGTAATATACAAAGACCTGAGTTAAAGAAGTCAAGTTATTAATCGAAGGTACATCAAGGTTTACTCCGATTTATTAATGCAGTTACTTGAGCTATTATGTATGAGACATGGTTTGGTTGCACTTGTGTAGATTTTGGACATGGGTCAATGGAAGTTTTCAGTTTAATATCAGTTCAATACTAGATTACTGGAAATCACTTTATGATGATTTGTACCCACATAGAGTACATATTAATTCACCTATTTGCAAAGGTTCCATGTATTATTTTAAAATGAGTATATTATAATGAAATAACAGGGACTGTCTTGTCAGATTTTTTTTTAAATATCTATTTATTTTTCATATATTTTATTTTATGAATGTATTTTTTATTTGTTGCTGTTTTTTTTAAAAGTCTCTTTAATCACGAAAGGCCACAATGATCTGACTCAATGCACATTGAAATCTGTTCAAGCAACAACCAATCACTGCTACCCTTTTATGTATGTGGTGTGGCCATAGTTAAAATAATACAAAATAATTTACAAAATAAAAAAATATCAGATTGGGTGACAGACCAATAACATTCAAACTTCACACGTACATAATGCATAATATTATACATCAATTTGTTTCACTATCTGATTCAAGATGGCCGAATGGCGGCCATTTTTGTGCTGAAATCAAGCATTTCTGGCATTCCGGAACCTGATCTTGGTTATTTATGGATGATTTTATTCAAATTTGGTACATGCATTAGACGTTAATGGTTCCAGATGCACACCATTTTATTTTTCAGATCAAATTTAAAATGGCTGACTGGTGGCCATTTTGTTTTAATGAATGTGGTTCTAAAGCCATATTTCCGACATGTTTTGACTGATTATGTTCAAATTTTATATATTCATTATACATCATGTCATGGATATACAGATGTATTCAAATTGACCGACTGATGGCCATTTTGTTTTAATTATTGCTGTTCCAGAGCAATAACTCAATATGGACAAGAACTCGTTTGATGAACAGATACAAGATGAATGAATATCAACCATTTTTAGCTCGCTATTGACTTTTCGAGCGGAGCTTATCATATGAGTGATTGTCCATTGGTGTCCGTCGTCTGTGTCAACTTTTTACTTTTTCGACTTCTTTAAAACTACAAGCCTGAATGCAAAAAATTGATATCTTCAATTAATTTTGGGGAATGTTTTTGTAATTTTTGGTAAAAAGTGATATTTTCGACTTCTTGTTGAAAAGTCTGATTGCTTTGATATTACATATATAGTACACGTGGACTGGTTTCAGATTTGTTCATTTTGTGATATCTTCAATTCTCTAATTTTGATGAATAATTTTGTCATTTTTGGTAAATAGTGATAATTTCGAATTATTGTTGAAAACACCAAGTCTGATTACTTTGATACTATACATATTGTTCCTTTTCTAATGATATCTTCAGTTCTTTAATTGAAATGTGCATTGCTCACAGCGGATGCTACTTGTTATCAAATTATAATCAAGCATCAGCTTCTGGATCAATATATCTGACATATACATGTTCCAACTATATTACTATAAACAATGCTATATATCTTAAATGTGATAACCAATGGAGACTGTACCTTGCATAGCTTGTCAAACTTTGAACTTGGCCGGGTGTCAAGGTTTGGAATTTTAGAAGTGAATGAGTTATTTCTCGAGTTGGCCAAGCTTGGTTCAAACCATGACTTTCTATTAGAGGACTGTTCCCCTAACCCCCTACTCCTACTATGAGGGATTTGGTCGGGATAGTTGCACAAAAGTAGACGTTAGATCATAGCATTAAAAAATGGAGGTGTTATTGATATACATATGAACATAGACTTGATACTATGGCCTTTTTAGCTCCACTGTCGACTTTGTCGAGCGAAGCTTATTATACGAGTGATTGTCCATAGTCGTCGTCCATGTCAACTTTTTACATTTTCAACTTCTTCATGTAAACTACAATTCTTATTGCTTTGATACTTGGTGTATATGTACATTTGTTCATTTTGTGATGATGTCTTCAATTATCTAATTTTGATGAATATTTTTGTCATTTTTGGTAAAAAGTGGTATTTTCGAATTCTTGTTGAAAAAATCTTTTTGCCAAAGCTTGTTGGGCCATGTGGCAGTTCTTTGTTTTTGTACCTGAATCTTTTACCTTTTCTCCAAAAATTTAGTGCTATAAATGGTATTTCATATTAGCAGCTCCTTACAGTATAGACTGTTATCCTGTCAAGTACCAATATTCTCTTCTATCAGAAGGGGATTCAGTTCAGCCCCTTCTCATAAAATGGACTTCCTGTCAATTCCTTTTAGTCCCTCATGATTGGAACTACCTTCAGCCTTTTTTTTACAGAATGGACTTCTTGTCGATTCCCTTTAATCACTTCTTACAGAATAAATTGTTCTGTCAGATAACTTCGCCCCTTCTTTACAGAATGGACTGTTCTTCTGTACGCTTCCTTTAGCAACTTTTACAGAATAGACTTTAACCTTGTCAATTCCCTTTAATCTCTTCTTTCTGAATGGATTGTTCCGTCGGCTACTTTCACCCCTTCATTACAGAATGGACTGGTCTTGTCCTTTAATTGTGGTGATCAAATGATCTTTAATCACAGAATCTCAATCTGTACTAGAAAATCATTTTTTGGACGTCAATTGCTGAAGAGCATTTTTAGTCCTGACTCTCATCCAGAATGCGAGCAAGCACCCACCACATTTCCAGTATGTTTATGTGTAGCTTTGTTTCCTTTGGGGTTCCCTTGACTTTTTTCTTCATGAGATGAGCTCCCCATTCTACATTCGAGGCATCTTTAACAAGTGTTATAGACTACACTTGAAGCATGAGACTTCTCACATACAAAGTTATTTCCACTATTTATCAGTTTTGGAGTCAATCGTTACATGCATATACGCATCTTTGAGGTCAAGTTAATCCTTTGGTGTGTAATCTTAAAATGATCTGTGAGAATATACTGATTCGGTCTATTGGAGACATCTTTCATCCCGAAACTGGTCACTGGATTCAGAATTATCGACCTGGCCCAGATCTTTTACCTGATTTTACACAAAATTCAAGTTCCAATTACCAGCATCCCTAACTGTGACCTGCAGTAGCTAACTCAATTTCTGACCCCACTCCCCCAACATGCACTTTGGCGTCCTGACAGGATCTAGTGGGCCTTCCTGATTCACTGATACCTCTTTGGACGACTATGCTGGCTCAGTCGTTGCACCAATGCCTTATTGGCAACACAGGTAACCTACATTAACTTGCCAAATATCAGTAGTGACATAAGTACACTTTCCGTCTCAGTTTTAATCCCAGAATTGTTTTCTGTCTTTATTCTAAAATTTTGATTTTTTTGAGGGGATCAATAAGTAGATGGTGCTAGAGAAAGAGGTTTCCAACTTTAACAATACATACAGCATTCTCCACTCGAGTACTGGCGATGTCTTGGGCACAAAGTGTGCATAACACTCTGTTCTATGTAAGTCGTACATCCTTCCAGTAAACATACACTAAAATCATTAAATAGTTAATTAGTAATCACACATGGCAATAGATGCTCTAAACAATTATCGAAATTTAAAATGATACAACTGCAAAGATGGTAGTCTTGACCATGTGGCGATCCGAATAATTTAGATAACTACTTTCACACTAAAAATCACCAAGTTAAATGCGCTCACATTGGATTTTGATAAAGTATGACTGAATGAGGTAAAACTGTATATATATATATAGATATATATATAGACTTTCAAGATTTGTCTGAGCTTCTATGATAAAACATAATTTATTTGTATACCGGTATTTTGGAGGTACAAATTTAACTGTTATTGCCAGAAAGAAGTTTAGCAACAAAACCGGTTTGTAACTTAGTTTGTAGTGCATCCTTCCAAACAAACAAAGAGAATCGTTGATCAGATATAGTTATTCATTGGCCCAGAGGGAGTATTAAAGTGAATTTTATGGAGAGAGTTTGACCAAATCACAAATTAGCCATATACACAGTGTGCCCAACATCATGTAAAATATAAGTGGCAATATCATTTATAATATTAATTAGGGAAAAAGATATAAACTTCTCGTGTTGTGGATGTGTGAAATAATGCCTCGGTTTTATACATACATACATTTATCAAGAGGTTCCAAAATATAAAGACGCCTCTTGTGTGGGTTCTGGTTACCCACTTGATCAAGCAGTTAAAAAAACTTCAATACATTCATGGGTGACTCGCAATGTACAAATGAGTGTTAAAAGAGATTATTATATAGATCAGTTCATACACACATGTGATATGTTCATATATAATATATACACTTTATCATGCACAAATATATGCAACGTATGCTTACATAAAACCAACCAAACATTAAACTATAAAAATTATGGCTCTGCCAGCTGACAACGTAATGGTAATGTATAGTAATAATAGTACTAGTAAGTTATATTATAAAGAGTTTATCTCAGAATAATATAAATCGTTATAATAAACATTCACCCCGAATTGGGAATATCCAGTGGTGTTTGTGTATGTCATGTTACCAAGTGTTTATCAGTCATTCAACGAATGGTGTTCCGCTGCCTCGGGCGTAGACAGGCGGCGACGCAATTAGATCGTCTGTAAATGCTTTCCTCACACGCAGACACACGGGCGTAGAAAATTCTCCGAGCAAAGAGACGCACCTTCTCTTGGAGTTTGGTTCAACACAACGTAAAACTCAAATGGAAAATCATCCATATCACGATCGAGATTATATAGTGGCGAACCTCTGCTCTCTAATACGCACACTGCCATACTGCACCAATCATCAGCCTTTATACAGTGTTGCAGTTCAATCATTCACCTGCTCATGGGTACCATCCAATCAGTGGCCTCCAGCAATGTATATGCAGTACCAGGTGTGTATCCCCTCAAAGGCTACACTTTACACTTTAGGTTTAATGAGAATATCCAATGGATGGTCTCTCTTACAGTTTATATATACATATTATTATATTGTTCGGTTCTAGTATCAACTAGGCGCATTCGGTTCGACAATCAATGCGATATTTATTTTGTTTTGTTTTGTATTGTTAGTATGAATTCTTAATTTCAAGGTATAGTTTCGATTAATACAATGACTCTGACTCACAGCCCCAGAACATAGGATCCTAAGACTGAACATCGTAAACTTTATTCCAGGTATACTTATACTATTTCTTACTCTTACAAGTAAATTTACAATCGGTATTTCAATACAAGTGTGTCATTTTACAATCTGCACATAACAATTTTTCATCAATTTATTGGCTAAAACTCCTGTTGTTTAAATTGTCACGGTGGTCATAATATTGAACAGTTGTGCTTGTCCGTGGATATGCCAAGGCAATTAGTGA